ACAATTTCCAGGATCTAATAAAAAATAGTAGACATATGAACAAGTGGAAAGGTGTAATCTACTACAAGGAGAAGCATAATTATTATTTATTTCTGTTTCACTAGAAAAAGATAAAAAATGACACAGGTAATGGAATTGGCAGACAGGGACCTTAAGATGGCTGTTATAAATACCCTCAAGGATTTAAAGGGAAACTTATGCCTAATGAAACAAAAAATAAAGGAATAAAACCAAGTGGAACTTCCAGAAATAAAACAACATGTGAAAAGGAAAGTTTCACTGGAGAAAATTCACAACTGATTAACACTAAGAAGGAAAAAAATATCACAACTTGAAAGCGTAGCGATAGAAACTATGTAAACTGAAGATCACGGGCAGAAAAGACTGAACAAAATGAACGGAGCTTAGTGACCCAGGGACAATATCAAGTGTCAAGATATGTGTGATTAGAGATTTATAAAAAGGGGAGAGAGAAAGGGAAACAGAAAACTATGTGAAGAAATGCTGGCAAAACATTTTGCAAATTTGATGACAACTACAATTCCACACATCCTGCAGAAACCCATGCAGGATAAACACAAAGAAAACCTCACCAAGGCATATTATAATAAAATTTTTGAAAACCTGTGATAAGGAATAAATCTTAAAAAACAGCCGGAGAAATAAAATACACGTTGTATACAGAGTAAAAGATAAGAATCTAAAGTAGGGCCACCAAGAGCACTGGTGGATGGGGACTGGGCACTGGACTGGCTATGCCATGAGACTCCTCCCCACTGAAGCTTCACCGGGTGCAGGTACAACTATCCTGTTTGTAAAAGGAGGAGATTTTCCAGCAAATAACATTGTGAAGTTCCTGGTAGGCTTTACAAACAAGAGTGCAGAAGATTTTATTGTTGAATCCCTAGATGCCTCATTCCATCATCCTCAGCACTACCACTTTTATATCCAGAATTTCACAGCTCTTCCTCTGAACACTGTCGTACCACCCCAGAGACAGGCAACTTTTGAGTACTCCTTCATTCCCGTAGAGCCCATGGGAGGGCGACCCTTTGGGCTGGTCATCAATCTGAACTACAAAGTTCTGAATGGTAATATATTCCAAGATGCTGTCTTCAGTCAAACAGTGACAGTTATTGAAAGAGAGGATGATTTAGATGAAGAAATAATCTTTATGTATATATTCCTTGCTGGTCTTGGGCTTCCAGTTGTTGTAGGTCTTCATCAACTCTTAGAATCTAGAAAGCACAAGAGACCCATACAGAAGGTAGAAATGGGTACATCAAGTCAGAATGATGTTGACGTGAGTCGGATTCCTCAGGAAACTTTGAATCAGATCAATAAAACTTCACCAAGAAGGTTGCACAGGAAATGGNAAGAACTTTCTGAGACACCCCTTACTTGTTCAATGACTCTGTTGTTAGTTTCAATGTATACATTTTGATGAGTTCTAACAGGACTAAAGTGAGTTCATTATGAAAAGAATTTTCTTAGGAAAAAAAATCACCTACAGTTACATCACTCAAGTGACAATCACTGTTAACTGTTAATATTTAATTATATGTCCTTCCAAGCTCCTTTTTTAAATGAATCATTTATTTTTTNTAATGTTATCTCAGGGCATAATATTATCTCATGAAATTTGGATGTGATCACACATACAGCATAGGAAGAAATTGGTAGGAGGAACCAGACTCACTAGGGAGCAGACATGTACCCCTGCTGAGGATTCTGCTAAGAAATAGTCAGTTTTCCTAGAGATCCTTCAAACTAGGGCCCTCAGAACATTGGGCTCTATCCTTAGCCTTGCATACAAGATGGGGAGATAGGAATCTAGTTGGGAAAAAGAGCAGAGATAATCCAAAGACTTTCACATTGCTTTCCAAAGACCTTTAGACAACGGTGACTATATTTGTTTTTGAAACTCCAGTGTCCAAACATCTATTGAGTGAGTAATATGTGCCAGAAACCTTTCTAAGTGCTAGTGATGCCCTTGTGAAAGTAGAATTAATTTCAATATTGGTTNACAATCACTGTTAACTGTTAATATTTAATTATATGTCCTTCCAAGCTCCTTTTTTAAATGAATCATTTATTTTTTTACATAGTAGTGATCATACCGAATATGCAATTTTATGCTGAACCTTGAACTAAACCTTAATTATTCATGTTAATGAGTGACAGAAAAAAAAAAAAAAAGGCTGGGATAAATGAAAACCGAAGATAGATCAAAATCCTCACTCTAATTAATGGTTTGAATTCTTTTTCCATCAAACTTTTTCCTAAAAGGCCAAAGGGCACTTTCTTTAAATTTTTATTACTTTTTAAAAAATAAATGAATTATGAACTTTCTGTGATTTTTTCTAGATTTTCTAATGTGAGCTTTTTTTTTTTTTTTTTTCCTTTTTGTCTTTTTT